GCAGACGGAGTGTTAGAAAGCACACAGACACAGCAGCAAGAGGACCGGAGACAGAAACTTCACCACTCAGCTCGCATTGTGAGCGGCATGTCTGAGCCGGGAATTTGCAGTCCTCACTCACAGAGCAGCCAGACTCGGATCCCCCCCATAGCATGACCTAATCCCCACCCCTCACCCACCATCGCAAAATGCCACCTTTGTTTTCCCTGCAATTTTACGGCTGTTCCGGAGAGCAAGGCACAGGTTCTCATGGGAGCCGACAGGAGAACGGTTTCCCTTGCTGGGCTTTGTTTTGTTTCTTTTTCCTCCGGTGACACTTCTGCTTTTTGTCAAAAAATCCTTAGCACATCCCCTGCTTCCTGACCCCTCTGCAGAGCAGCGCTCGGGCTCACGGTGCTCCCCACACACAACCCATGCACACCAAGCCTTTACATGCTCGCAGCCCCACCGAGCTCAGCTCCACGCAGGATCAAAGTGTCTGAGGCACGGGGAGCTCGGTTCATCCACCAGCTGGTGACGATTCCTTGCAGTAAAATAAGATTGCCGCTCTCCTGGTAGCTAGAATAGAGGTGCATCTCGTTGATCCCTTTCGTTCATCAATCTCCCAGGAATACAACCACAAATGGAGCTGTAAAAATCACCGAGGCGGATTTCCCTCCCTCCTAAACCCAACTGCAAAACTTTCCCTTCTCAAAAAAAAAAAAAAAAAAAAAAAAAAGCAGTCTGATTTCTGGCTGCGGATGGTCTGATGCCAGCCCTGCAGGCTGGGGCTGCGGGGAAGGGAGACGGCAGTATTATTTTTTTTAAGTCAGAACCAACTTCTCCATTTTGGTTCTGTTTAATATAGCCAACGCGCACAGATTAGCGAGATCCCCTCCAAATATCCCACAGCGAAGCAATTGCTGCTGCGGCTTTGTTCAGGCTGCACCGATTTACACGCACCCCCCGCGACGGAGACCCGCTTTTACAGCGCACACCTCAGCACGAGGGAAAAAACACTGGCCCGCTGTTACCTTCGGAAACCAGGGAGGGGGGAAAAAAAAAGGGAGGAATCGGGAGGGGAAGTTAATGTCATCAGGGAAACTTTTTTAGAGAGGAAAGTTGGAAAGACTCCTGTACAGATCCAAGGAAGAGCAGTAATTTTTAAAACGGGCTCTTGCGAGGAATAAAGAGCAACTGCTGCCCCCCACCCTTCCAAAAAATCTCCAGCGAGCAGGGAGGGCTCGTCCGCCCGGGCTGCTCCGCGCGGCCGGCAGGCTCCGGAAGGGGAGCGGGCACCGAGGC